TTAATTTTATTTTATCATTTTTATTTAATTTTATTTTTTATAATTTAATTTTTTGTTTTTATAATTGTATTTTATTTTATTTTATTTTTGTTTATTTAATTTTTTATTTTTTATTTGATTTTATTTGATTTTCCTGAGTAAACATCTAGCCCTAAGATGCCATTAGATGTCATTTGGTTCCAAGCAAAATAGTGTTAAAAATACTTTTTAAACCTTTTTTTAACTTTATTTTAGAGAGTTACTGATGGGTTTGAGACTCAGCCGATAGTGAACAACAGCAAATGCATGATAAACATGATATAACAGATGTTTTTCCTGTAGAAACATCAGTCACGGGCCTCATTTGTGTTCAGGTTCGCTCTGACACTGAAGCAGATTGTCTTGTATTGCTAATAGATTTTCATGCTCTGACGGAGGTTTTTGTGTGTGTGTGTGTGTTCTGTATCGGGATGGCGGGTGAATTGGAGCAGGACCGTTGGGGCGGCGACTAATGAAATTGTGCTCATCTAAAACAATGAAGGTCAGGATATTAATTGGTTCAAGTCATTAGCTCAGAGGAATCAGGCGGCCCGTCTGAAGATTTCGCTCTAGATTGCGTGTCGTGGCTTTTGTGCGCGAGCGACGTGTTGGCGCTTAATTGCGCCACTTATGATTAAAGCCCAGAGACGTGGGGCAGAATTAAGCAGCTCTTTGTTGATCCACTGCTTTTCACTCATCTCAGCGTTTCATTAACAAAATGACTAGCCTTCGAGAGTTCAGCTGACGACCAACACGAGCAGACAGAAACACAAGACCGCTAAAACACTGGCATTAAATGAATGTTTCCACCCTCTCTCATCATTGTCTTCTAGTTCATATTTAACTGAAGTATCAATTTGTTATGCTTGAGGTTTTAGTTTTAGTTCGACCCTGATCTATACCAGGGGTTTTCGAACTGCTGTCTGTGGAAAAACCTTAAAAGGGGTCATATGATGCGATTTCATTTTTTCCTTTCTCTTTTGCAACAAATGCCTCGTTTGTAATGGGTTTTAATGTTTTTGCCTCGTCGCTCCGGCCGGACACGGCATCAACAGTATGGTGAGGGGCGTAACATTTCCGTCTCACGCTTGAGGTATTCGGCCAATCACAACGCACTGGATAGCTGGCCAATCAGAGCACACCTCGCTTTTTCAGACCGATGAGCTTTGTAAAAATCGACGCGTTTCAGAAGGCGGGGCATAGAGGAGAAACAATAATGTACAATATGTGGAAAATAATGTGTTTTTTTAACTTTAAACCGCATAAACACATTTCATTACACCCACACCAAATACACAAAATAATGTTCTTTTTAGCAGCATCATATGACCCCTTTAATATCTCAAGTACATTTATATCTAATCTAATTTAATATTTATTTTGTATATTTTTTTGTTTCATTTTAATTTAACATAAAATTTTAGTAATTTTGTTTGTCATTATCATTAGTTTTTTTTAAATGTCGATATGGTTTTTATTAAATTTTAGTGTATTTAGTTTTGGTTATTTTAGTACTTCAACTGAAACAAAAATTAGAAATGTTGCAACTATTTTTATTTATTTAATTTTTTCCATTTATATATATATATATACTTGTAATAAAATAAAAATTAACTGAAACGATAGATAGATAGATAGATAGATACATACTAGTTAATGATAAATAAATTATAAAAATAAGATTCAATTAATTGGCTGAATAAATAAGTATATAATTTGATTAAAAGAAATACAAATTTGATTAAACAAATATTTTTTTATACAAAATAAACATAATAATGTAACATGAAAAACCCCATATATTTACAATATAATATTTTTCTTATATTTATAATATACATTTTTCAACATATAAATTGCGTCTTTACTATTGTAGAAATGACAGCTGAAAAAATGACTTTATATGCTGAAATTACATTAATGTACTCACTCATCGTTTTATTTCTGTTAACATGCATTATATTTTGAGTATCAATTTTTATTTATTTAGTTATTTATTTAGCATGGTTTTAGTTTTAGTTAACGATAATAACCCTGATTTCAAACTGGGGTCCGTAGAAAATACTAGAGAAAAACTGTGTAAAAATGTAAAAATAAATAATAACAAGCTACTTAACAAAATGTAGCTAACTGCTATAAATCTACTTTACTTTCAGCTAGCTAAAGGGAAATTTCTTTCAAGTTGCATGGCTGTAATATTAGCGATATGATGGCTGAAATGTCCTTCTATGTTGTGATAATAGTAATAATATTTTGTAACTGATACGGAACTTAATAGGTAGCCAGTGCAGAGACTGTAAAATTGGGGTAATAATATTGATGTTGTCTCTGCCTCTCAGAGCCTCCGATCCCCATCGCTCCTCCTCAGCTGACGGCGGTTGGCGCCACCTATCTGTGGATCCAGCTCAACGCAAACTCCATCAACGGCGATGGGCCCATTATCGAGAAGGAGGTGGAGTACCGCACACTTTCCGGAAGCCTGATCGACAGCCAACCAGTCGACAAACCCAACCACAAGATCGGCCACCTGGACCCCGACACAGAGTACGAGATCAGCGTGCTGCTCACCAGACCCAACGAGGGCGGCACCGGGGCCCCAGGGCCCCCGCTCAGGGCCCGCACCAAGTGCGCAGGTAAAAAAGACTGTCATTTTACTACTTTACAGCTTATTCATTTGCCGACTGACAACCAGTGATGTAGAAGCTACACTGAAAGCCGTTTCTCTAGTTATCCATACCAGTGTTATTTTAGATACTTTTGTAGTTTTCATTTATTTTAATTTAATTTAATTTAATTTAATTTTATTTTATTTTATTTAATTTAATTTTATTTTTAAGTTTTAGTTATTTTTTGTGTTGTTCTTTATTTATTAGTTCTATTTTATTTAGTTAAATTAGTTTATTTTTTTAAATTATTATTATTATTTTATTTCAGTTGACAATTATTTCATTTCAAGTAATTAAAATGTTTAGATTTTTTAAATGGTTTAGTTTTAGACAATGATAATAACCTGGAACGATACCAGGGGTTTTAAAAATAGAGTCTGTGCAAGAAATTTGGGAAAAACAATGTAAAAATGTAAAGATAAAAAATAAGCTAATCATTTGATTAACATAAATAAATAAATTGGATAAAATAAATGTAAAAAATTATTAAATGAACAAAAAAAATTCATCTAACAGTGCAGTACTATAGTAAGTAAAAAAAACACATAATACTGTAACATAAAAAACGTAAATATTTTCCAAATAATATTTTGCATATTTATAATATTATGTTTTAAATAAATAAATAAATAATTTAATTAAAATAAAAAAAGATTAAATAATCAAACAAATTAATAATACATCTAACAGTACAGTACTATAATGAGTAGAAAATAAACATGTTACATAATTGGAAAAAACTCCAAATAATATTTTATTCATATTTTAACATCAATTTTTTCCACAGTATAAGTTGGGGTTTTATGCATAAAAATATATAGATGTATTTATTTATTTATTTATTTATTTGTTTATTTTAATTTTAGTATAGGGGTCAGTGTTCATCTAAAATATTGAAAACCATTGATCTATACTATAAGATACAAACAAAAAGTAGCTGTGCTGAATCTATTCACTTTAAGTTAAGTAAAGTGACATTTTCTTTTTAGTTACGTAACTACAATATTAAAGTTTTTTTTATACAGCAAATCAGATCAGAGTGTATTTGGTACAAAATTAATATTTATGCATTTAGCAGATGCTTTTATCCAAAGCAACTTACAATCGACTTACAATACTTACATTATACCTGTACACCTACATTTACACGAAATACAACTGATAAAACCATTTAAATTAATAATTTTATACAAAAAAGGTTCAAAATGATGTGCAGAACCAAAAATGAGTCTGAAGATTTAGTCATTTATGAATTTTTTTTTAGAATCTTTTTTTATTTGAACTGCTTCACCACAGTCCCAATGAACTGATTCACTACAATTAACTGATTCACTCCAACAAACTGATTCACTACAATGAAATGATTCACAACAAAGAACTGATTTACTACAATGAACTGATTCACTACAATTAACTGATTCACTATAGTGAACTGATTCATTACAACGAACTGATTCACTACAGCAAACTGATTCACTACAATGAACTGATTCACTACAATGAACTGATTCACTACAACAAACTGATTCACTACAACAAACTGATTTGCTACAACGCACTGATTCACTATGATGAACTGATTCACTACAACAAACTGATTCACTACAATGAACTGATTCACTACAACAAACTGATTCACTAAAATTAACTGATTCACTACAACAAACTGATTCACTACAACAAACTGATTCACTTCAATGAATCTTAATGTAGTTCATTTAGTTTTAGTGCAAGTTAGTGTCTTCCCAATCATTGGTTGTGTCGTTGTGTCGTGATGCTTCATTCAGTGAGTTGAGATTCGTTCATGTGAGACGTTAGTGAATGGCTAGAGTTTGATGTCATTTAAGCATCGTCAGCGCAGATGGAGCTCGTTTCTGGACTCACGAGGAGTTCATTAGCTAAATAAACACTGTGTTAGTTGTTGTTTAGATGCTCCGGTGTTTCTCTAGTAATGACTTTGGCTTTTAGGAAAGCTTTAGCGTTATTAAGAGTTTGTCACATTAGCATCACGCCGCCGGAGCCCCGGGCCCCCAGCAAACCACACGCAATTATCACAGTAATTAAGCAGGTTCAATGACTCTCATTCCCGATGACTGCTGTGATTGTATTAGCGCTCAGGATCACCGCGTGACACTCCCACACCAGGCTAATCGCTAGTCCATTAGCCTGAGCGCTAACTGCCCATTAGCGCATCACAGGATTCATCAGCCAATCGGACGAGAGGTGCTCGAGGCCATAAAGAGTGGAACGACAAAACTGCATTTACATAAATTATCATTCCATTCCATTGACTGTCCGGTCATTAGCATATATTTGCTCTGACGGCCTTTAACAGAGAACGACTGAACAGCAGAGCGTTTCTGATAAACAACAAATGCTCTGTTTGTTTTGGACTTACTATGGTACTACCGTGGTATCCTGCTGTATATGGTGGTGGTTGAGGAGATTCCCCAGAGTACCCAGAAAAGCGCTATATAAATGTAACATATTATTATAATATGTTTTATGTAGACAAATACATACATTTATAAACATACAGTACATGCACTAGACATATACATGCATGCGTTATATACATTAAATAAATAAATAAATAAATACGTATATACACACTTATTTTGTATATTTGTGTGTAATAAATGCATACAAATATACCCCAGCGACTTAAGACTGCTTTTGTGCTCCAGGGTCACATATGCGAATTTGTTTTATATTAGTTTATTTTTATTAATATGTGTATTTGTTTATATATAAATGCATATATGTGCATGTAAATCATATTGCATATATATATATGTGTGTGTGTGTGTGTACGGTAGTATCAGTGCAGTACTGTGTTTGCACTGGTTAACTGTAGTGTGAGTTGTGTGTTGTAATCGGATCTGAATGCGCGGCGTCTCTGTTTTGACGTGAAGGAAGTGAATCTTCAGATCTCAGAGTGGCAGTGGATCATGTGCTGCTGAAGGGACGGGACGCGCTTAACTCATGTGACCTCAGCATAGTCAACATAACACTCATACCTGCAGCGGCGCCACCTGTTGACCGACACACACACACACACACACACACACACACACCGATCACATGACACGCTGATGGAGCAGAACACAGAAACACACAGACGCCATATTGGATTTGATGTGAACTTATCTCACAAAAATATGTTAGAATTAAATTATGAAAACGGTATTTCTAAATGTTTTCTGAATGTTCAAAACGTCCAGTGTAAGGCAACACTTCCATTGTATCATCTTGCAAACATTAGGGGAGCGTTACGTTTGGATGCTCTCTGAACGTTCTGAAACAAAGTGACATAAAAAAAACGTCAGATGAACGTCCAACTAAAACATTTATTAAAAAACGTTATAAATGGTTATATTAAATTGTAATAATCCAAAAGCATGTATAATTATAATTAGCCTATGAAATGTTTTATTTTTTTTCCAAATTCAGCTTGAATTTTTCTGCATTAAATTTTAATTAAGTAAGTTTTTAGTAATCAAACAGCAAGGCTAATTAATTGAACTCATGGAACTTACACAGTTTAACAACAATTTATTTAAAGTTTTTATTAATTTAATTTTAATTTTTTTATACACATACATTTTTAGGGCCCTTTGAATTAGTTTTCTTATTTCGTTTTTTTTACCAAATTTTGTGTTTTTCAGTTTTTTTTGTGTGATTAAAAGCATGAACTTCTCAAACTTATGCAAATTTAAAATTATTAAAAGTTTAGCTAATTTATTCATGCATAATTTGTCACATTACATGTCAATGTATGTTATACTATAAATGCAGTTTTTTTACTGAATTCTGTGATTCTCTCCGTGATTTTCACATCACAGAAATCATGAGAGCAAGATGTTACAATGGCATCCAAATATCTGAGAAAAAAAGGGTTATTTTTTGCATTATTAATTATATTCATTATAAATCTAATGTGTCAAAATAGACGTGTTAAAATACGTCTGATATTACTTCTGCTTCATTGATCATGTTTACATATCTGACAGACGCTCTTATCAAAATCATGCATTCACTGGGATTCAAACCCACGACTTGGTGTTGCGAGCGCCTACAGGAATGCATACTGGAAATGGCAGGTCAGCGCATTGCATTGCATTATGGGATACTGTGCATACTATAAACAGTACGTCAGTGTGATATTCTGAAGAGTTTCTGGAAAGAGACGAACAGTTTCCTGACAGCATGAAGAAGAGCACAGAAAGACGAATACAGTCAGATCCTCTGTCGTTTGCTGTCTTTCTCTCTGGACTCGCGCGTCAAAAGCTCTTGGCTAGCGGAGCATGCGAACGTGACGCTGTAATTGACAAATTCTGACGGATACCATCGGCACAGAGTGACAGGAGTGTGACAGACTCCAGACGCAGACCAGCTCTTCTCTAACGACCTTCTGCTGCGGCTCGTCTCGCCCTGAACACGCTACAGTCCACCCCAAACACACTCTGAGATTTACTGTACGACTCTGATAAAAGAGTTGCAGCAGCACACTCGCTCACACACACACACACACACACACACACACACACACACACACACACACACACACACAAACACAGAGTGACTTTCACCTCTGTGTGACTCAAAAACACTAAAACAGCACAAAGCCGCTCACTTTCTTCAGGTTCTGATGGAAACATTACAAAGTCAAATAAGGAAAAATTCATATTCTCTATTAATGTGCCAAATTTCTACACTGTCTGACAATCATAACTAGGGCTGGCTCGATACCAGTTTTTTCGAACCGATCCCGATCCGATACCAGAAATTCTGAGTATCTGCCGATACCGATCAGATACTGTACCAACGCGGTATTGCTACAAATATACCCCAGCGACTTAAGACTGCTTTTGTGCTCCAGGCTCACATATAGACAACTTCATTGTAAAGAAAAACAGTAAATTAATAAATATATAATCATAATCTATGATAAAAATACTACTATA